GACCACTGGGTACACTGGCTCTTGGATCTCTAAGGAGGTGCTAATTTAGCCTCTGCCTGAGGCTACCCAGCAGGAGCTATGGAGAGATCTGCAGATTCCTCTTCTTTGTTTGGGGTTTGGAGGTACCTAGATGAGGCCCAGCTGTGAAGCAATGCAAGCTGCTGTGGGGCCTTGGGCCTTCTTTTGGAAATTCTGGGTTTTTCTGACCCAGCTGCAGTTTGTTAGGTATTTTCAGATTGCAAAGGGCCAGGCCTTTCATATGCAAAAGCCTCTGCACACAGCTTGGGTGGGGTGGGGTCTCAGGGAATCAACAGGGCGGAGCAAACAGCTATGGCTGCTCCTCAGTCCTGCCCTAGAGGCTCTGGGTCTCAGTGTTCTGGTAATCGCTGCCAGCACCTCTGAGAGAAAGCCGCCCTCGAGTTCTGCCCGATGCCAGACAGTCCAGTTTCTCCCCGTATGCGTCTGGATCCCCAGAGACTCGCCTGGAACTGGAGTTCAGAGCAGTCGGGAGCTTGAGTCTCTCTTCCGATTGAAAGAGACAACTGTGTCCTCAGTTGCCAGCCCTTTCCACGTGTGCCTCTGTACCTCTGCACTTTACTTCCGCACCGCCTCTGAGTCTCAGTGTGCTTTTCTCTTTCCTTCTATTTGTAGAATTTCCACTCAGCCAGCTTTCCTGTGGTTCTGGATGATGTCCGTGTTGTCCTTTAGTTGTATTTTTGAAGTGGTTGTGTGAGGCAGCAATTTCCGGTGTTTACCTATGCCACCATCTTGGTTTCTCTTCTTTTCTGCAGTGTCTTGACTCTAAGAATACTTCCCCACGGCCCTGCTTAATGCCTGGAAATGGCCATTTCATTCGGTGCCCGTCTGCCAACCCTTCCCCCTGAGCTATGTAGTAGGTTTCATCACCTTGAGATGGAAACTCCCTAATAGCTTCATTTTGAAGCTATTTCAGCATTAATACTGTTAAGTGCTTGATATTGGTAAGAGTGTCCTCATCTTTCTTCCTCCTCCACATTCCTAGTGCTTTTACACACCTAAGTGCCACCGAGACAGGAATGACTTGCTCAACAGGGCTCTGGACATAAAGGAATTCTTCGATCACATAAACGGGACTCCCTTTTCATGTTTCTACAGTCCGGACAGCCAATCTGAAGATGTCATTCTCATAAAAAAGTACGACCAAATGGTTATTTTCCACTGTTTACTTTGGCCTTCACTGACTCTGCTGGGTGGCGCCCTGATTGTTGGTATGGTGCGGTTAACACAGTACCTGTCCCTCCTATGTGAGAAGTACAGAACTGCATTCAGAGATGAGGCAGGTGGCAAAGTACCTTATATAGAACAGCATCGAAGGAACCGAGCAATCTTAGGATGGTGGCCAAACTGAAGTCCTGGCCTTCAGATACCTGCAGTTTCTGCACGTGAAGACTTGATTATGCCTGCTTACGAATTAACCATGAAGTGGCAGTAAAGTATGATATGGGAAAGAAAAACTTTTTAAAAATATATATTTTTATTGATTTCAGAGAAAAAGAGGGAGGGAGATAGAAACATCAATGGTGAGAATCACTGATCGGCTGCCTCCTGCACACCCCCTACTGGGGATTGAGCCCCTACCTGGGGCATGTGCCCTGACCCAGAATCAAACTGTGACCTCCTGGTTCATAGGTCGACGCTCAACCACTGAGCCATGCCAGCCAGGCAAGAAAAACTTTGAAGAATCTCACATGTATTCTATTTATTCTGTAAATACACACAAATTCACCATCTTCTCTACTCCAAATCTCTGCACGTGAGCCAAGGAATCACTTTTTGTTCCCACATGGCAAAATGAGCTCAAGGTAGCTGTCCTTAATTTCAGCTCTACCTAGAACTTGTCAATGTGGAAATAATGAGGCTATTTAATCTATTGTGCACTGGACAACTAGCCTTGTTCTATGCCATACAATTCACATTAAAACATTTCTCAAAAAAATTCTTGGTGAAGAACAGTTCATTCACTATAGGAAGATAGTACTCTGGTGATCCCCAAAAGTGTGGCCCTACCATTTCAGTTCACCATTCGTGATAAAGGAGGGAAGCCACTGCCTGGAAAATTCAGTAAGTTTAGAGTTATTTATACTTAACCTTACCATGTACCATGTAACTTTTCTTTCAGGTACAGTTTTTAGTTAATTATGCTTTCCTTAAGCTCACTTTATTCTTTGTGTACATTCTGGTGAGAGGGAAAGATATGGCTAGAAATTTGTCGTGAAGTAGGGATAAGTTGTACTGGATGGAATTTAGCATTCATCTCAGATAACCCCCGTCACAGAAAAGTCCCACGTGGATACTCAACAATGGCCCTTATATTAAATGATGAGTCAACCATGGTTATTAAATAATGTCACAAAACCCTCCCAACAGGTGCTTTCCAGATCAAGCTGAATATGAGTTGAAAACAGTTTGTTCTGAAAACCAGTGTGCCTTAAAGTAGCTTTAAAATGTTACTAAAAAATCTTACTTGGTGGGCAATAGAATGCTTTTTTTATGTAGATGTAACCAAACAAGAAACTTTGACCCAAGCCAATTTAATGCCTTTTAGTAATTAATTTTGTCATAAATTACTAAACTGAATAATAAAATTGGGCAATATCGACTTGCACAGTTTTGGCATTTTCTCCTCTTTTTAGTGTGGAATAGTGGAGAGCACGTGTCTCAGTGTGTGATTTGAGTTGTAGATCATAATTACAACTTTTCAAGTATTTGTTTTTGGGCAATTCAGCTGAATTGTTAGAGCCTCTCTCTTCCCATCTTTAGAATGGGAATCATCTCTTTTATGGGACTATTGTAGGGAATACACAAGATATAGAGAATATGAAACACCTAGCTTAGTTTCTGGCACCTAGTAGAGGTGCTTAAAAATCTTAGTAGAAAACAATCTTTTGCTAAGTTTCAATGTTCAGCCAGCCTTATTCCTCTTCTGGCCACATACCCACAGGAAATAAAATCAGCACCTCCAAGGGATACCTGCACTCCCATTGTTCACAATAATCAAGATATGGAGACAGCCCATGTGCTCATCAACAGACTAAAGACATGGTGATGATAGATATATAGTGTGTTTAAGTACATACAATGGAATATTATTCAGCCTCCAGAAAGGAGATCTTGCCCCAGCCAGGTGGCTCAGTTGGTTGGAATGTCGTCTCACGCATCACAAGGTTGCAGGTTTGGTCCCCGGTTGGGCGTGTATGGGAGGCAACCTATTTGATGTTCTCTCTCTCTAAAAAAAAAAATCAATAAACATATCCTCGGGTGAGGATTAAAATAAAAAAAAAGGAGATCCTGGTATTTTCAACAACACAGATGAACCTGGCAGGCATTATATTAAGTAAAATAAGCCAGGCACAGAAAGGAAAAAAACTGCATTCCACTGCATTTATGTGGACTCTAAAAAAGTCAAATACATAGAAACAGAGTAATATGATGGTTATTAGGAGTAGGGAGGTGGGGGAAATGGGGAGATGTTGGTTAAAGGATACACATTTTCAGTTATAAGATGAACAATAAATCTAGAGATTTAGTATACACATGATGGCTATAGTTAATAGTGTATTGAGTACTGGAAATTTGTTGGGATTTCAGGCACTCTCATCTCACGGTAACTGTGAGGTGATACATTAATTAGCTTGACTGTAGTAATCATTTCACTCTGTATATCAAATCATTATATTGTAGACCTTAAATGTATACAATTCTTATTAAAAATAAAAGGAATTCAATCAGCTTCAGTACCTTTCATTGGACAGCTGGTATGGGGTGAGGGCAGGAAGCTATGGGAGAGGATCCTCCCCACCATCTCTTAGCTAAAAATATGCAAGTAAGGAAGGTCCAGAATGTGCTGTTTAAAAGGCTTTTGTATACCAAAGACTTCCCCGTAATGAAATATACATATGTATACACATTTAAATCTTTCTTCAAATTGAGTTTCTGTAGTTTTCTTAAATTAAGGGCATATCTCTATTCTATTTAAAAAATATATTTTTATTGATTTCAGAGAGAAAGGGAGAGGGAGAGAGATAAACATTAATGACGAAAATCATTGACTAGCTGCCTCCTGCATGCCCCCACACTGGGGATCAAGCCCACTACCTGGGCTCTGCCCTGACTGGGAATCAAACCGTGGACTCCTGGTTCATAGGTCGATGCTCAACCACTGAGCTACACTGGCCGGGTTCTATTCTATTTCTTAGTAAGTTTGACACCCATCTAACAATATGCAATTCTTGGGATTTTTCTCCTAACAAATTCAAAACCACTAATTTGAAACCTAGAGTTTGTGAAAGTGTTGAAACCACAAGTGTTTGAATTCCTACCATTTTCCATTTGTATAGTGGTTACTTGGTTCATCATATTATGCTTGGAGAACAAAGTCAATTTAGAACAATATTAATTCAAAGTCACTCAAATCACTTGGCAAATAAACAAAATGTAAGCAATTATTTGCTGTTAATTGTTTAGAAGTACTAAGTGTCAATGCCCATGTGCATTATGGGTCCAAAAAAAGTTCACACTTACCTTTTGCAAGGCTTATATTAAAAGCAAAACCAGTTTGCTTCTAACCTACTTTCTAGGTTCTGTTCTTCAAGTGACTTGAAAAAAGTCTGTTTACACATACAAACACTTTTATACATTCATGTATGTGTATACATATATTTCTGCTTAAAATACAAGCATATAATTCTTTATGCTTAAAGGAAGTTAATATTTAAGCAGATATTTCTCTAATATTCATCACTTTACTGGGGCAGAAAAACTGACTTTGAAGGCATAATAGTTTCAGGTTTTCATTCAATGTTTCTCAGTCATTATTGATAAGAACTCAAATTCAGCTAAAATTTGGTTATTAGCAATACTGGTTTGCTTTTAAGTATTCAAAACATGGCAAAATATACTTATCACAGTTTTTTGTTTAAAATATAAAATATATGAAACACTAAGGATTATTTGGACACAAGTCAAAGTAATTTTCTTTTTTTAATAAACAGTGTGATGTTACAGACTACGAAGTTAAAGAAAAGCAGACATTGACAGTTTCTGATGAGCACAAACATAAGTGCAGTCACAGGCCAAGCTTCTTGCTAGGAACAGCAAGACTGGGAAGAGGTCTTAAATTTAGTGACACTATTATTCTATATTCTCAGTACAATAACACATGCACCTTGCTGTGTCAAATACTTTTTGGGCCATCATTAAAAGAACATTTAAAAACATTTTTCTCCTAACGAATGTAGTATATATACCACAGGACTTCAATTCATTGAATGACAAAATAGAGTGAGATCGATTTGCTACAATAAGTGGGGCTAAAAGGGTGGTAGGAGCTATTTTTAAAATTCCCAAAGTCAACATTTGATGGGTTAGTAGTCGTTTGGTAGTGCCACATTCCCCAAGCTGTTAAAGTGTTATGTTCCAAAAGGACACATTCTTTTAGGTTTTATTCAACTTAAGTACAAGGACAAAATCATATTAAAACCATTGATTGCATTTGAAATCAGAGGAAGGCCAACTTCACTGACCACTCATAGGAACATAAATTAAATCTGGTAAGGGGCCGTTACTTATGAAATCAATAGATAATGACCACATTTGGAAATTTACACTAGAATTAAGGAGTTCAGTCTTATTAAAGATATTTTGAGAAAATATCCAAGTTGGTTTTCTGCCTCCTTCCTAACTTAGAAGTATTAACAAAAATTTTTCACTTAAAAAATGTACATGTCTCTTAGCATAACCACAAAATTATTGTAGTGACAAATTAAATATGATTTCAGATAGATTCATAGACCTGAATAGCTTACAAAGTACGTTTAAAAAGCCCCTTTCCATACTTACCAACTTGTGGAATGGAGTCTATGGTTAGTAGTGAAAATCAGTTACCCAACTATACTAAATGTAAAAGGGACTGCTTTTATTCAATAGTTTTTTTCCCCTCCCTGTTGAAACTTATATGTAATTGTGTAAAAATTAAGTCAGAAAATTTCCTGATGGCTCATAACTGTCACTATATGCTAGCCAGCATGGCTGTAATATTAACATATCTAAGCAAAAGGAATGGCGCTGCATTGATAAAAAAGAAGTGCAAAACTTTAATCAAGTGGAATACTTGAATGAAATAAGCTTATTTAAAAACTACCATCCCAACTTGGGAAACTCCTAATAAATTCTAAACTCTTCTGAATTTTAGAACCTGGATGTTTACATCTTTTATAAAAGATGCCTCTTGACTAGAACTAGCAAGCAGAGTGTATACAAATAGAAATGTGTGCACATATACACACACTAATTTCACTAATAATTAAGAAAAGAGAACACAACTAATTTTAAATATCAAATTCAAGAACCTAGTACCATGAACCTCCTAGCACTATGCCTTTGCCAAATGGCTGGAGCAATGATTAAATTTTTAACCAATATTTTTTTTCTTAATGTCTCCAATGCCATTAAAAACAAGGCATGCCAACTCTGACTATAAATCTCAAATACAGTGCTCTGCAAATTTCGGTAATATCAGAGCCTAAAGTATTGGATTGTGACTCATCTATTTTATTTCCTTATTAACCTTCTGAGGTAGAGTTACCAATCTAATTTTATCAGGACCACAGTTATCTTGAGCTAAGCCCTAGTCTTTTCAGAAAGTGAACATAACGTTTAACAGAAAAGAAAAAAGGCTTTCCAGGCCATGGCACATAAGATTCATTTACAATTTTTAATGTAATAATTAAAAAATAAAAATGGTTTGTGTCTATATTTAAAAAAAACAGCCCAGCTGTATTATTCTGTCACCAAGAATGATTATCTGAGTATCCTGTCAATGCTGAATCTTATAGTTCAGCCTTCACAATCCCATCCTTGATGAAGGGTTAATTCCCTTGTGGTATGCACAATATATTCTCACAACTTTCAGCCTTCTTTCATGCCACATCTGAGCAGGATATGAAGAATGTAATTCATTCAAACAACTCCTCCCTGTTTTGTACCCCCCTCACCCCCGATTCCCCTCTTCTCAAACACATCTGAAGTATGAAAGTTGTTTTTAAATAGTAGAAGCACCACAATCCATTAACACCATATATGGCCTTTCAATTGAAATACTACAGTGATGTCCTGGACATCAAAATTAATTTTTTAAGGTGGATTCTGAGTGTGTGGGTCCAGCCCAGGTCTGCTGTTGGTGCAGGCAATGAAACAAAAGGAACTTTATAACATTCACAAAGAGTTAACCTGCTGGCTTTAAACTAATGCTAGGAATTAAATTTCTCCAAAGAGCTGGCAAGCATAGGCAATAGCCAGAATATGAATTAAATGGATTTACAAAATCATTAAGAAACAAATTCAGGTTTATATGCTATGAAATTTCCATGGTGCCTTTAGAATAGATGGGCTGCTTATAATTTTTTAAGAATGCCAAATCACACAGCTTTTGATGGAAAAAATACAGTTGGACTGTGTTTTACCTATGTGAAAATTACCAATCCACTTAAAATAAAATCCAAGAGGGTATATACATTCTAATCAAGTCATTGATTATTTTCCTGACTAATAAGAACTACACTTTACACAAAATACTTTATCAGCAGTTGTTTTCATCAAAAAACCAATAGTCATAGTTTCACAGTTGAAAAAGTTACACATTAAAATATTTTACAATTCATTGTATATTCACCAGGTTCCATTTCCTAAAGGGCTTGTAATATAAAGCAGAGTAGAAGGGAAAACCTCAAAGTTGATTACTTTGACACTAAGTTTTACACAGGACACTAAGAACCACAAAAAGCTTAGGTTCTATCAGAAAATAGAGACCAAATTCCATTCTTGATTAAAAAATCCAATTAGAAACATCTTTTAAAAAAACACACCAAATTCCACAATATGATTAACAGATTTCAAATTAACAGCAGTGTAAAAAATTTTAAAATACACAATTTTGTATAGCTGAGAATGTAACAAAAAGTTAAAGCATGACTTTCGAACAGTGGGTTATTTCTTGCTAGAATGTGTTTAAAATTAGGTCTTACTTTCTTTAAACCTGCTCCTCCCCCCTCCAAAATAGTCATTGAAGGAAATATTGCTCAAGTGACCAAATGAAACTGTAGAGCCAATAGTTAGTTATACCACATTCAATGACGTATGGCTGGCCATAGGGAGTGATCAATTGGAATTGATCTCTGATACTAAAGTACCTGGAAGCAACTATGTTGTCATAATTTAAAACAGCCTAGTCTCCCATATAGCATTTAATTCAGTTTTTGGTTCTTTGTCTTCTGAGAACCACCTGTCCCTTTTTTCTTATTTTTAATGCTGTTTGCCTAAACTCTGCTTGGATTTGTTTAATATTTACTTTGCTTTTAGCTAGATCACTTAATCTCTATTCTTTATAAAATGTGTTTAAACCTCTCAAACAGACTTAATTTGGTTGTAATAACTCTTGAAAATAAATGTCAATGATGAAATATGGTATGTGGCATGTGTTTTAATGGTGGAGAGGTCCCAGGGAAAGTGGACTAACTGAATTAATGTGGAAAGAGCAAAAATTGTATAAATTCTGTGCAAGGAAGCTCAAAGCTTTTTTGGCACTCAGGTAAAACACGGTTGGTTCTCTGTTAAAACTTCACTTTCCACCAACAGAGTCTCAGACTTGTATCATTTCAGTGAGTTTTCCTGTAATCAATTCCTGATACAGAAAAGACTGGGATGGTAGTATGTATTATAACTGAATAGATCTAAGACACAAAATATGAATGATGAAGTTTTAATAAGTTATGAAATCTTCTGCAAAAGAATAGATTGTTTTCCTGCTTAATAGAGTTTAAATTCTTCTGAACTATTCCAAAACAGTTTAGAGAAATAAGTTCCCCTAATCTTCAAATTTATTTTTCCTGTTGGCAATATTATATACATGCCTTAGTGAAGTACCTAAATCTTCAATAATTACACCCTTTAAGGGTTCTAAAATAGCCAAATATTAAGAGTATTTGTATTAGAGTCCTTGTTCACTATTCAAGACTATAGGTAACTGATTTCATAAGTGAAGATTTTTTAGTGATGCTGTTTCACTAGAGTATACAATGTGTGCTCTTTATAAAGTTGTATTCCAATAATATGCCTAATCTAGAAAACTGTCAGTAAATTATTGCACTTTCTCTGGTGTGGCACCTGAACATTTGCTAAAACTATTTCCTAGGGAATTAATCATTCATTTCAAATACTGAGTAAAATATCAGATTCTGGAGTGATGACTAGCCTTAGCCCCTACATCTTGGGTTAATGTTTTTCAAAATGTTTAAGAATGTATCCTGTGCTCAACTGCAATTTAATGAAGTTCTCTGGAGAGTGAGCCCTGACCACTTGGAAATGGGACATAATCCTGCTTTTATTATTGAGATATTGGATAAATAGCCTACAATGGTAAAAAGTTCATGGTTTCTATTTCCCCATATTATAAAGTATTATTCATAAGCATACCTCTGTAGAGGTTTAAGCAATCAGGAAGATACTCTAAATTGTATTAATTTTGGTAACTAATTTCATACCATTGAGGCATTCTGAACTATAAAAGAGGATGGAAGATGGGGGATTCATGTAAAAAGAGAAAGAAAAAAAAGGATAAACTTTAATCTGTTTTCTTTAAGTAGTTATTCACTAGTATTGGTATAAATGGGATAGTGCCTGAGCCTTCTCCAAAGACCAAGAGAAGAGCTGACCATTGCTGATATGAACAATAAAAAATTTGGGGTGCAAAACAATGCATGACTATGGGACAGATCATGAAATAAAGAATATATATTAATGATAGTTTCTATAATATAAATAGCCTTTAATAAAAAAAATAATCTTTTTAATAACATTAATACTCACTTCTATTTTTCTGGAAAACATGCATGAAAAATGTATTCAATTCATCAATTGCAAAAGGAGGAAAAAAATCAACTTAAGGTGAATACTGTACAATTCTGAAGCAGGAACTATTCCTGCTCATTCTTTCTCTATGATTATTTTACTTTATGGGCTCCCAGAATTTCCCTGGGAAATAAGAATCAGATTCTTGCAAATACTGTCCAGAAAAAACCCAAAAGCCACCCTATAACAGGTCTCATTTGTGACTGCTTCCAAAACTTTGCAGATAAGACCCCAAATCATTAAAAGGTTTGATTAAGAAAGAAAAGTCTCTGGTGAAATCTCAAGAGTCCCTTCCACCCCAAGCATTTTTCTTCATTAAACAAGGAGTCAAAAACCCACTTCAAACTATAAGTTGAACAGCAATGAAAAAAAATAAGAAATTTCATTATTTCCCATCTTAATGTAATTTAACATCAAACTCCAGTTTATCTGGACCTAATGCAATAATAGACTTTGCGTGTCCACATTTCATAACATAGAACATTTGCAAGACAAAAAAGAGCATCATTCTTTTTCCTTCTCCATCATTTCTATATATTTTGGGTTTTTTTTGTTTGTTTTGTTTTTTAAAAAAAGATACAAACAATCTTCAAAGTTTACCTTTTTGGACTTAAGGCATAACATTAAATTGCGCATTATTCTAAAGCTTAATTTTGAAATGAACTAGTTTAGTGCTATCAAACCCTGTTTGCATTTGCATTATTTAAATTATATAGTATTTTATTTCTGTTCTTGCTGTAAATTCTAATGCTGTTCTTGGATTGTGCAATTCCTATGCAATCAGTCTTTGCCTGTTGACAGTTATTAACAGTGCAGACTAGAATCCAATATCGAGCTTTCAATTTCTTAGTGATCATTCAGTTCAAAGCATGCTGCTTAATTGTGTGGAAGATCCAATCCATTTTTGTTGTCCAGCCACCATGATGTGCATCATTCATTTGTTTCATGAAATATTCCAAAGCCTCTTGCTCAGTTTTATCTAAAGCTAGGGTCTTTCGAATGTATGCAATATCATCAAAAGATTGTAGTTCTGGCATCCCAGAGCCAAGCATCATTGAGAAAAGATTTATGAAGAGATTGGCATGCTGCCGGATAGCTAGATAAGCTTTGTAACACATCTCCTGAAACCTACAAGTAATAAGAACAAGTTGGTTAGTATGAAGCAAATGGCATTAATAGCTTCGGGTCTCTGCTCAAATGTCACCTCATTAGAGAGGCTTCCTTGGACAAACCTATAAAAAATAACATTCCTGCCCTAACCGGTTTGGCTCAGTGGATAGAGCGTCAGCCTGCGGACTCAAGGGTCCCAGATTCGATTCCGGTCAAGGGCATGTACCTTGGTTGTGGGCACATACCCAGTGGGGAGTGTGGAGGCAGCTGATCGATGTTTCTCTCATCAATGTTTCTAACTCTCTATCCCTCTCCCTTCCTCTGTAAAAAAATCAATAAAATATATTTAAAAAATAGCATTCCTCTCCTCAATCCCTTTATCCTACACTAGAACGTAAACTTCACGCACCCAAAAAGACTTTGTTTACTGCTTTATCTTCAGTACCTACAAGAAGGTCTGGCACATTAGGAGTTTAATAAGGACTTATTAAATGTATGAATCAATCCATTTAGGATTCAGTCTAGGGCCAGGACTGAGTTATAGATAAAACAAAATTTTATAAAAGGTTTTAAAAGTACTTTAAGGTTTAAGATAAACTACTTATAGTTGACTGAATTCCTCAAATTGCATGACTAAAAAATGTCTTAAGCACTATACATTATTTGTCAATATGAGAAGGTGGAGTCCAAGTATTTTAACAGCAGTAAGTAAAAGCTTAATGTATTAAGAAGTTTAAAGATCACTTTCCTTTTAGACTTTGACTAAATAGTTTTCTTTTTCTTCACTGCATTATACAATAAATTAAAATATTCAGTTTATACTCCAATGTTAATATAACATCTTTTATTTATATTGATTGAAAAGTATCAATTGGTTTGATATAGCAGCAAGAATTCTTCATTTTGTGCTTTTGATTTCTTGAGCTTACCTCTCAAATTCTCTTGTCTTGGTGCATTCCTGGGCTCCTTTACTAATCACTATTAAGAAATCTTGTGTCAAAACAAATGGCACACGTTCTCGTTTATAACCAAATTTTTTCTTCTTGTGATCCAAAAAGTGTCCAAAATCTATATGGAACAGCTTTCAAACAGAAAAAATTATGTTATAGTTTGATAAATGCAGAAATATAATATCCTGAATTAACAAGTTTAAGAACACCAAAACGGTTGAAAAGAGAAAGCTATTACTTGTCCATCATCTTTAACCATGATGTTGCTATTGTGACGATCTCCAATTCCCAAAATGAAGGTAGCGACACAATATCCAGCACATGAACGTGTAAACAGATCAATGGCTGCATCATATCTACAAAGAAGAAATAAACTCTTTATGAGTTCTGTGGAAATACAGAGTGATCCAGTCCAAACTGGGAAAAAATGGTCAAAGTCTGTATTAAAGCAATGAAAACAATCACTGACATTAGGGGGAAGAAGTAATTATGTCCAAAGAAGTGAGAAGTTTTGAGATTCTAAAATTTTCAAAGGTTTCTAAGGAATTTCCAGATACTCTCAGACCAAAGCACAATTCTTATTATAGTGAAAAAATACTTATTATGTCATTAAAATATTTTTTCTAATTGCTATAACAATAACCTAGAAGTAAAAATTTTAATTTGCAATGTTAATTTTTCTAAAAAAGAATAAGCAATAAGAAAAAACACCTTTTAGATAGCTATGTGGAATGTATAGGATTTCACTAAGTAATAAGCAATTCTGATCATTTAAACACAATCTCATATATGTCAAAGGTTGAACATATTTTTTTTCAAAGTAAGTAAGCTGCTTTCTCTGGTCTAACTCAGAAGTATATTCAACCGTTAAAAGACGTGTCTGACAACAACGTGGATTACACAGGAAGCTAAGAATGACACACTCACATTTCCCCTTTGTTCTTGTCCTTGAGCCACTGGTGCAGCGTGTGGCTGTTGAACTGCAGGGCCCCTTTCAGGCCCCCTTTGCACTGGATCTGCATGATGGTGTGAGAGTTTCTCACCACCTCAATGAGCCCCACACAGTCCCCAATGGACAGGCAGCCATAAGGCAACATTCTGGAAAAGGATCGAAACATTTGCAGTTAAAGGACAGAATTTTAAAATAGCAAAGATTTTAACAGGCTAGTCCATGAAAATTTGTATTTGCAAATTTGTCATGTTACTCCCTTAACCTTATTTTATTTTTTTATTATAGTACTAGAGGCCTGGTGCACGAATTCGTGCACCGGTGGGGTCCCTCAGACTGGCCTGTGCCCTCTTGCAATCTGGGACCCCTCGGGAGATGTCAGACTGCCGGTTTCAGCCCAAAACCATCTCCCGAGGGATGTAGTAGTGCATGAAGCGGCAGGCGGCCAGGTAGGAGGCCGGGTTGGACACCACGCCGCTTGCTCCTACTCATCCCGGCCCCATTGTGCCTGCCGCCGCCCGGTAGCGCTGCTGCGGAGGTGGGAGAGGCTCGCACCACCACAGCTGTGCTTGCCAGCTGTGAGCCCGGCTTCCGGCTGAGCAGTGCTCTGGCTGTGGAAGCGCACTGACCACCAGGGGGCAGCTCCTGCGTTGAGCATCTGCCCACCTGGTGGTCAGTACACGTCATAGCTACCGGTTGACCGGTCGCTCAGTCATTCCGTCACTTAGGCTTTTATATATATAGATGACATTCCTAGAAAAATCCTCAAAACGATCTCCCATCATTTATTATAACCTTGAATTGAGAAAACATTTACTTGTATATCAGAAAAGCATTAAGAAAATTATTATGGCAATTAAAATTTTATAAACATTTGTAGCTTAAAAATATGAATTTAAAGATGTTTCATTGACATTTAAATAATACTTTAAGGCAACAGTTTCAAATTTTTGGTCTCAGGACTTGTTAATATTCTTAAAAATTACTGTGGATTCCCAAGAGTTTTTATTTATATGGGCTATATCTATTGATGTTAGAAATTAAAATGGAAAAAATAAAATATTAATGAATTCATAAAATAATTATAAAATAACAACAAGCTATTATAAGGTAATATAAATAACATCTATTATGATATAAAAGACTGTATTAAAAAACTTAATGAGAAGAGTAGCACTGTTTTCCATTATTTCAAATTTCTTGAATGTCTAGCTTAACAGTATGAGCTGAATTTTCATATATGCTTCTGTATTCAATCTAATACAGTATTTTAATGGAAGGAAGCTTAGAGTTTGAGTCCGCCTACCTCTTTACTTAGTCAGCTCTTCTTAAAGCTAATCATGAATAATCAGATCCAAGGGCTTAAGAAATACCCTGAAGCACATGACACTAAATTGTTTGTGAATCTCTCCCTCTTTGGGGTTCTGTGAATCACTTACTCTGGTCCTCCTACTCTTTTGAACATTTTTCTTATGGAATCTTTTCTTCTATCTGCTCTGGTAAATACAGGAATTTCTTAAGGCTGTACTCCTGCTCATTCTCTTATTTATATTTTATTGCTACTGAACGTGCTCATAGTTTAAAGAGTCACATAGTCCCTATAAGGCTAGTTAGGAAGAAAAACAAAACACCACCAAACAGAATCACCATAATCCTGAATCTAAGTTTTGCCAAGAATAAATAAAAATGTTATCATTTTATTTAAACTTAAACTTTAAACAAAAATTTTAACCTGAATTTAATTAAATTTAAAGAACAATATTTAGAAAATATTATGACTTAAAAACTTTCTAAAGATCCAATTTACTTTCCAATGACCAAGCTCAACTTGAGATGCTTTTTTTGCACAGTCACTAATTTATAATTAAATATCTTTAATTACCAGAGATATATAGTTAAATCTTTCCTCTACTGGCTAGTTCTGCATTCTCTTTTGTACTCTACTCCCCTGGGAGTGGTGGTAGCAGCAGCATGTGGATCTCTCACAACAGGAAATTATACCAAAAAAGGAAACCTGATTCATATAACAGGAATTGTTTTGGGAAGGCAGCAGGGATTAGGCAAAGAATAAAAGAAATTAAGAATTAAAGTTGATAACTAAAATTTGTAATTTGGCAGGTTACTTGAGATGTCCATTTTTCTTCTTTGCCATAAAAGGGTTCTATTATTTGTCACCGATACACTTTTATATACAAGCTATTCTTAGTCTAGAAGCATACAAATAAACCCTAATCTAGCTAGTGTTGATTCCTATCTCTTATGCCCATTTACAGACAAAATACTTCTGGAGAGTGTGGCCTTTGCCTGAAAGATCCTAGATTTGCAAAGTAAGAGAAGGAAAAACCATTAGAAGCAAAGGTCACTAGAAGATGACGCATGAGAGAAAACTTGGAGATAATACTGGTGATTGTGGAAGGCTGGCCAGAAATCAACAGAATGGTAAAAGCTTTAAGATTAGTTGCTTTCATAAATTTTTCTGCAAAATTGACTCAAGACTAGAGAATTTAGAAAGTTTTAAAATTAGAAAATTTAAAGTTATGAAAGAAACTTTCTTCTAAACTCAACTTCTGAAAGACAACAGGGGCCTTTTGTCTCCTATGTCCTGTTCCTAAACACACTTGCAGTTGCAATCTACCAGCTTATAAGAGAGAGCTCTTCTTACTTAGCTGAATCTCAGTAGGTACTGTAAGCCAAAGAGGAGGAGGACAAAGGAAAGGAACTAGTGTTAATTACTGCCCCATACTTTTCTTTACATATGTATGCCTCTACATGCTTTAAAATTAATATTTACGAATAGCTTACTTTTTTAGGGTAATTTTCAACAAACATGATGCCTTATTGGTTACCTACCGAAGATCAAGACCTTGATTTTGCCAGATATTTTCCATAATGCGAATAATTTGAAGTGTTAGCATATCTTGCCGCAAATCTGAAATTCAAATAATATGTACTACCACTTAATGCCATAAGTACACATTTGGGTATCATGTCATCACATTGTTTTCAAATGATAAATAAATAGAGCTATGTTTACTCTTCAAAATAATCTATAAGGAAGCAATATTTTGACTCTTTAACCCATTTCTAAAGTATCTACATAAACTCATCTATATAACAATGTAGGATAAACTATTTTCCAACCATTTTAAATTAAAACATTTATTTTTCTGAATTCTTAAATGTGAACATGTTTATACTTAAACATTCGATTAACTGAATTCAATGCTGAAATGTCATTTCCCCAATGGAAACCCATCAGTGACCCTCACACTGCTCCCCCACAGCCTGTTCTCCAAGTAAATTAGGGTCTCCTTTCACATGATTTCTTAGCAAACTACACTTTTCCTTTGTACCATGGTTGTAATTTTATTTTTATAATTATTTGTCTTACATCCCTCTCTTCTCTGCTAGAATGTGACCTTTAAGAGGGCAGGGATTCTGTTTTGTTTATTCTTACAACCCCACTGTCTAGCACATCAAATGTTTATGGAATAAATGGACACTCTCATAGCTAAACAAATGATAGTTAGAAACAGATTCAAGCTTTCTGATTCTAAACCAGTACTTCTTTTCAATAATTATACATACATATTCTCAAGGCCAAGACATCTGCTTAATATTACACATTTTACCACATGCATATTCCTTAAATAGCTTTCAATAGTCTTCATGGTTCATAAATATCCTGTATATAAAAGGATAGCTAAATTCATGCATCATAGGTTCATTAATACTCTTCCTTACCATCCCCATTTTTAAAGATGATCTCATTGTTCTGAAAGAGTAACTCTGACATGATGTCTGGGTTCTCCCAATTCAACCACAGTGGCCTTTTTGCAGAGGACATAATTCGACACTCTTCAAGCCTTTAAAATAGTTAAACACTTTAATAGGCACTTTAGCTTTATTATTCTTTTACCCTCAAATTAATTTTAAAATAGCATAGCTTTCTAAAGTGTTATAAAAATTTTAAAGTTTCTACTTGATTTTATTAATGAATTCATTTCTAAGGGATTATAAAGAGAAAAGCTCAGTTGGTTAGAGGGTTGTCCTGATACACCAAGGTTGAAGGTTCAATCCCTGGTCAGGGCATATATAAGCGACCAATGAATGAGTAGATTAATTGGAATAGCAAATTGATGTCCCCCCCACTTCCCTCCCTCTCTTCCTCGCTCTCTCAAATCAATAAATAATTTAAAAAAGTAAAAAATATTAAGCTTAAAAATTAATTACATAATAGCTTATGAATTTTCAACAAACATAGGGACACATTATTAGTTTTTTTTTTTCCTATTCACATTCTTTTTTTCAATCCTCACCCAAGGATATTTTTTCCATTGATTTTCAGAGAAAGTGGAAAGGAGGAGGGAGAGGAAGAAAAAAAGAAAAACATCAATGTGAGAGAAACATCAATTGGTTGCCTCTCACATGTGCCCCAACCTGGGCTGGGGACTGAACCTGCAACCCAGATATGTGCCCTTGACTGGAATTGAACTCGCGACCCTTTGGTGCGCAGGCCGATGCTCTAACCACTGAATAACGTCAGCCAGGGCCACATCCTTAGTTTTACAGATATTACATTCCATTTCTTATCCTATGATACAAGAAATTCTGGCTCTAGAGTGTTTTAAACTCCATTATTAAAGTAGTAAAACTCATTCTGAACTTAACACTTGGGTTGCGGGATACGAGTTAAGTCGGCTCGCGTGAATTGCGCGTACTCCGTGGGAGCCGTCTTAAACTCGGTTCATATGGATTTGCGGTGGAGTGCGGGAAACGTGTAGACTCGGGCCGATTGTAACTGCGTATTACCAAATATTTCATTTCAATCGAACCCATACTTCAAAAGATATAGGCATTTTAACGCGCCATCTTATATTTTGGCGGGAAATTCACCCGACACCGTAGTGTTAAGAAAATTTTGTAACTCTTACTTTGTAGGGTAGGAGAATGGGAGAAGGAAGCATGTACAAGGTGGGGAAAAAGTAGGTTTACAGTTGTTTGTATAGGAAATAATACAATAATTAATAAATAATACACGAATAAACTGTGCTTCATGTATTCACAACTGTAAACCTACATTTGCCTCACCCTGTATAATGGAATATTCTAATTATAATGGACTTTTAAAAATATATATATTTTTATTGATTTCAGAGAGGAAGGAAAAGGGAGAGAAACATCAATGATGAGAGAGAATTATTGATCGGCTGCCTCCTGCACCCCCAAACTGGGGATCAAGCCCACAACCTGGGCATGTGCCCTTAACCGGAATCGAACCTGGGATCCCCCCAGTCCACAGGCCGACATCTACCCACTGAACTAAACCAGCTAGGGCTAATTATAATGGACATTTTGACTTTTCTCAAGATTTTCTCCAAAGAGGGTACTATTTAAATATATAAATAAAACTTCCAATAAGGTACCTTACCTGAGATTCCCTAATTGATGAGCAGGATTTAGAGGAGATAGAAAGCCCTGTAGAGCATCCATGAAATCTGGTCGCCGCATCTGCTCAACTAAAAATTTCATCTGTACCTGATAAATTAGTGTAATCGTGATTAGAGATGAGCTCATAAAAGATAAAACTAACTGCTAATTTCTTTTATACACTGGAACCTCAGCCTTTGAATTGATAGCTTGGATTGGCAGCATTCTAGTTAGATGTGTTTCTGTAACACAGAGCAGACAAACTTAGGCAGAGGTGAGAGTGACAGCACTGTGCACCTCCCTGTGAGCAGAACTCTGCCTGATGACAGAGGCAATTCTTTGGCTCTAGAACAGGGCGTGGTCAACTACAGCAGGTCAGTGGCCAGATTTTGTAAATCATATTGAATTGAATATAGCCATGCCCATTCATTTAGACGTTGGCTGTTTTCTCACTCAAACAGCAGAATTAAGTAATTACAACAGAGTCCACATGGCCTGAAAATCTATTTATTATCTGGCCTTGTAAGAAAAAGTTTGCTGACCCACTGTTGTAGAGGGAAAGCTATGGAGACATCATGTTCACTCTCTTTCTGTTGGGTAGAAAAGGTCAAGGGAGGCTAAAAGGAACTGCTGGGAAAAGGACTTGTAAAAACATTTGTTACACTGAGTCTCACACTATACTCATGCTCTAGCATAGAGTTAGAAAGGAACATGCTTTTTTAATCAGTTCAAAGCAGAGCCCAGACTGCTGAGCTATCATGCAATAATTGCCATTTTATTTTAGAAAACCTCTATCTATTGAAAATGTAAAATATGAGTGGGGAACAAAAAAAAGAGTTTAGGACTTCATAATAAATTTATATTCATGCTGGATTTTAGTAACAAATCCCCGCCCCCCCTTCCTCACTATGTATAAGTGAATAGCTAGAAAATGTAGTCATCACTGACTAGGGCTCTTGATCATGTAAAGGCATCGCTTTCTCTGTCGCTATCAGCCCTAATGTTAGCACACTGTTTCCTGCACTTTATCATTGTTATGATAAAATACAAACCACACAAAGTAACTGCCTTTAGTCCTGTGACTGGGGCAGTACTTTACATCCCTGTGACCATTCAATAATTTCCAATTTGTATTTTTTAACCCGTTCACTTTTTTCAATCATCCCCTACCATCTGACAACCATCAAAAAGTTCTCTGTATCTATTAGTCTGTTTCCGTTCTGCTTGCTCAGTTGTTGTTGTTTTTTTTAGATTCCACAAATCCTATGACTGCGTTTTTAGTTCCCTATCACAACTCCATTTAAGCCAATAGTAATCTGAGTAGTGAATTTCATGTTCCTAATTAACCCACTGTATCATGGCCAATCTGTTATATAAAATTCTAGTTTAGAAAAAATGCCTATATTTACTAATTTAACTAATATCTAGTTTCTTTTTTCTTATCTCAGTTACAATATAAATCTAATAAGCGTTATTCTTTCAAAGCAGTCTAGTCCCCTCTTGCTCACAATTCTAGCATCAGAAACAGTATAATTATTTTCTAAGAATCTATATTTAAACTTATATACCACAACTTTAATAAAATCAATTCTGTGGCATTTAGATTAAAACAGTAACTTTTTTTTTTACAGAAAGTAATATTTTTTCAAGCAATATTAATGAAGATATTAGAAAAATTAATTCAGTACTGCTAATTTACATTCTGTGTACTTTGAGGACTCACTAATAAGCTGGGATTTTTTTTTCATTTCATTAGAGATGAAGTATGATTTCACTTTTAACTATAAAATATGGTGGAATAAAGGATAAAGAATAGGAAAAGTTCATGAAATATCTTCATATTTCATATTCCTCAGAAACTCTAAGCTTGACTGCACTTGACTAAAGCGTGACATATTCACTGAGTAACTAAGTCCATTTTAAACTCTGAAATGTAAACACTAATTTTCTTCCACTCATTTTCAAGGTCATTACTAAAAGAGTAAGTGACACAGAATAGGGAAAATTATTTTTATTTATTTTTTAATAATTCTTTATTGTTGAAAGTATTGGAAAAATTATTTTTAAAAGGATTATATAAAAAAGAAAGGAAGAGAGAGAGAGAGAACTAACATTTACCGGGCACTTCCCATGTTCTAGGGACTGTGACAGGAGCTTTGCATATCTCATATAATTTAATTATCACAACAACATTATGAAGAAAGAATTATTCCCATTTTACAGATAAGGAAGATGAATCTCAAAGACTAAATAATGTGTCCAACATTACACAGCCAAGAGACTAAATAATGTGTCCAACATTACACAGCCAAGAGCCAGTGGAAATGGATACAAATCCTAATATGCTTGATTCTAAGACCCATGATCTGCATATGCAGAGGTGGGCAAAAGTAGGTTTACACTTGTTCATATGGAAATAATACAAATAAACAATACAATAATAAATAAATATTAATTATTTGTGTACTCACAATTATAGACCTACTTTTGCACACTCCTGTACACTGGGCTCTCAAAAAACCCTGCCACACTGCAATAAAGAGTTTTAAAAACAAACTAAAGAGTCATATACCTTTTGAGTCTCATCCTTCTTCTCTTGTTTGAGAATGTCAGTTAAGTTGATGAGCTTTTCCATAGCCTCGACTTGCCTGTTCAGGTGCTTCAAATACATCCCACATGCACGGCAGTAGGATTCCAAAAGCAGGCCAAACCTCTGACTAACTGTTTTATTGTGCATCTCAGATCTAGAGGAACAGTGCAAGATTAAAACAAAAAGGACAATACACACACACACACACACACACACACACACACATATATTCTCAAATGAGTATATACATATTTAAAATTTTTTTTTCTAAATTCAATAAATGTTATATCATACTAACAATAAAATAATTTAAAACTTATCATTCAGAAGCAAAGCAATCGAGAGTTTGATAGTTCTTCAAATGTTAATGTACTAGCTTTTAGGTTTATTTCAACTAATTTTTATTAACTAATCTCTCAGTACAAGATATATAAACATGAACAAAGGGAAAGTAGGAACAAAAATATAATGAATAGGGAGGGAGTTAAGAGTTCAGTGAATACTGTTCGACTCTGCTGGCATACATGTTCCTTTTCTACACTGTCTCAGAATTTAAGTTATTTTTTTTGGGGGGGGGGGAATGAAATGAAATTTTATTAAGCAACATTGCTAAATACATAATAATTTTCCAAATATGATAAAAACTATAAATCTAGAAATCCCAGAAGCTCAACTAACCCAGCCAAAAGGAACTTAAAGAGAAAATCCCAAAATAAATTTATGTTATTTTAAACCCAGCTTCTAGGTTTCATTTTAAATTTTAACATTTAAAAAACCATGTTAACTACAAATCTGTTTCTAAATTTAGAAAAAAGTGTTTGGTTTATGACCCCTAACTTTGAGTATTAGGTATATCTGATTCTACATAATTTTTTCTATTCTTAATTAGCTTCTTTTCTAATGAGAAATTTGAGATTTTTGTTATTATTCTTCTGAATTCCAATTCCAAGGTAAGATTTTTTTCTTTATTTTGGGATATTTTAATCCACACACACAGTGAAACCAAATATACCATTAATCAACATTAACCTAGCAAATTTAACTTCACTTAAAGTAGAATCAAAGTCTTTAAAATATTTCAGCTCTCATTCCTGTAGAAAATTCAGTTTTGAATTTCACTGTTTATTTAATTCTAAAGAGAAAAGGTTGAGGGGAAACTCATCATTGGTACCACATATTTTCAATATGGAAAATTTTTCCAGACAAACAAAAGCTATCCTATCTGATAAAAGACAAAAAGGGTAATTAACCATACCTCCACTATGCTTACCATTGGCTAATCAGGGCAAATTAACTGCTAACAAAGATGGCAGCCGGCAGCCACGCAGCTGAAGCAAGCAGGAGGCTTGCTTGCTCCAGTGATGGAGGAAGTCAAGGTTCCCCGCCTGCTGCGGCCCGGCTCTGAGCCCGAAAGCAACAATGTTTCAATTATAGAAGCTAAACAAACCCCAGATACTGCTTTCAGCTGGCCGTGGCCACGGAGCTGGAGCCGGCTCTTAGTTCCAGTGATGGCAACTAAGTTTCAATTATAGAAGCTAAACAAACCCCAGATACCTGCTTTCAGCAGGCGGTGGCCTCAGAGCTACAGCAAGCAAGGACGGCAACAAAGTTTCGATTATAGAAGGTAAATAAATCCCAGAATTAAAAAGAAAAAGAAAAAAAGGAGAGGCTGGGAGCTTCAGTTGCCGGCCAGCCTGAAAACGGCCCTCAGCCCCTCACCCAGACTGGCCAGGCACCCCAGTGGGGACCCCCACCCTGAAGGGGGTGTGACCAGCTGCAAACAGCCATCAGCCCCTCAACCAGGCTGGCCAGGCACCCAAGCGGGACCCCCACCCTGACCTGAGACACCCTTCAAGGCAAACCAGCCGGCCCCCAACCGTGCACTAGGCCTCTATCCTATATAGTAAAAGGGTAATATGCAAACTGACCCTAACAGTAGAAAGACTGGGAATGACAGGTCACTATGACACACACTGACCACCAGGGGGCAGACGCTCAATGCAGGAGCTGCCCTCTGGTGGTCAGTGCACTCCCACATGGGGGAGCTCTGCTCAGCCACAAGCCAGGCTGATGGCTGCCAGTACAGCGGTGGTGGTGGGAGCCTCTCCTGCCTCCTCAGCAGCGCTAAGGATGTCTGACTGCAGCTTAGGTCGGCTCCCCACTGGCAAGTGGACATCCCCCGGGGGCTGCCGGGCTGCCAGAGGGATGTCTGATTGCCATCTTAGGCCCAATCCCCTGGGGAGAAGGCCTAAGCCAGCAGGTGGTCATCCCCCAAGGGGTCCCAGACTGTGAGAGGGCACAGGCCGGGCTGAGGGACCCCTTGCCCCCCAGTGCACAAATTTTTGTGCACCGGGCCTCTAGTAGTATATAAGTATGCATATTTATACATAAAGAAAGTAATATGTCTGTAGATAATTTAATGGGAAAATAATTTGACTTACTTTAAATGCCAAAAGAAAAAGTGCCCAATCCTTTGATTAGTCAACGCTTTTTTGAGTAAAAATCTCACAAGCAGGTTATCCAAATACTGTTCATATTTTAGGACCTATGTGTTTAAAAACAAACATAAAACAACTTTACATCAACCAGAGTCAAATTTTGCATGGTTGGAATTAAAGGTAATTTTTTAGAAAGAAAGTAGATACTACTGGTGACAAAACTAATTTTTAAAAAAAGCATAAAATCAGTTAATACAGTAGAGGTTTTGGAAGTTGCATGGACTTAGAATAAAACATAATTTTTCTTTTTTACATTATTTTACCTGTACTAGCTGAATTAGATACTGAGAAAGTTTGTCATCTGTTAAATATTTTTCTAAGCATCGAACAGCAAAACTTCGAACCATAGGGTCTGGGTAGTTGCAGTCCAGAAGCTCCATAGCTTGTTCGGGTTTGATTGGAGGCCAGTCTTTTACCAAGCAGTACATCTGTGCATGAGAAAGACCACAAATCATATTTTTAAAGCAAAGACAGTTGTGAATGAACCCTTCATTTTAAAATTAGTTTAGATAAAAGTCCCCTTATAAATTCAGTGCTTAAAATGTTCAGTCCTAATTAATTAATTTTATCAGTGGAAGCAGTCTGAATGGTATTTTTCTCTACTATATTACCATTATTAATTAACTTAAAACAGTCTATTTCACCTCATAGTTATGCAGACTTTGTGAGAGAAAACAATCCAAGCAACAGTTATTCAGGAATCTCAAACATGCATTTACCTGAGCTACTTCATCTCTAGAATTCCATTTAACAGACAGAAGCAATTTGGGTAGAATTTCAGGGATAGTTACACAATAGTGTCTGTGTGGAAAAGATAAAACAAAATAAAAAACATTCTTGCATGTTATTCATAAGGCCTAGATGTCTAAATTTCCAACTATACAATCTTTAAGAAGTTCCAAACACTTAACATTTTATCATTACTAGCCTTCCTTAAAATCAAAAGAAATCAGTGTTTTAACATTTTGTTGCATATATATATGTACATAGATACTTAGATACAGTTATAATGGCAAGGGAGGCAAAAGAAAAATCCAAATGGAAGGCAGGTACTTAGGAAAAATTGTGAATTTATTTTATAACACTCTTTATGTAGCTCCTTTTATTCACCTACTTAAGCAACTTGGACCATGAGAAGAGTCACCACTTCTACTGTGGTCACGGGAAACAATTTATGTTTTAAGGAACTTCTGCAGAAATGCACTGCAATTGCTTTATTTAAATAAAACAGTGTCACCAAGTAGTACGATAACTTCTTCATAAGTAAAAATAAGGCATTACACTATTACTTTGAGGAAGTGTAAGAAAAAAAGGAAAATGAAGGGAACTCCTAAAAATGGAAATATCCAGTGGTCGGCAAACTGCGGCTCGCGAGCCACATGCGGCTCTTTGGCCCCTTGAGTGTGGCTCTTCCACAAAATACCGACTTCTGCGCACGGGCCACGAAGTTTCAATCGCACTGTACATGCGCGCCCGCACGTGGCATTTTGTGGAAGAGCCACACTCAAGGGACCAAAGAGCTGCATGTAGCTCGTGAGCCGCAGTTTGCCGACCACTGTTAGACCAACTAAATTGATCTAAAACAACAGGATATTTTTTGGGGATCTTGAATTTTATTAAAAAGCAAAAATAAAAACCAAATCCTAAAAAAGGTGTTATCAACTTAGAATTTTTAAAAAAGCATTCAATGTCCAAAGTTAATACCAATGCAGCATGATTCTCTCTAGAAATATTGCTCTATATCTACAACTTTAAAAAGGATGTTTGTGTAAAAAGTCGTGTATTATGCTTTATTTACTTTAATAGGTATGGTAGAAAAAAAGGCAAGATCAGCCAAAGCCAATTCTTTATTTTCTTCTGTAACAAAAGAAACGGAGACTCTTCATCTTAACACTTACCTGTGGCTCCAAAGAAAATCTTTCTCCTGCTCAGTGATTTCAGAGAGAGGATCTCGGGTACAAATTGCTCGGAGCTGTTCTTTATCATTTTCCCTTAATTCGTTGTCTCTAGCTAGTCTGTTACTCTGTAAAATAAAGTAATATCTTATATGATTTTCTCTGCTATATTTTTCATGAGTGATCCACATAAAAAAAGAAAGAAAACTGTCAGTACACTTTATATTGCTTATTAACTGCTGTGAAACAGTTTACTATTCCCATGATAAGACTTTATTTTCAGGAATAGGGAAGAATCAGCTCAAGACAGTATTTGTGGAACAAATCCAGTAACTTTTTTTTCTTCTTCCAGTAACTTATTTGGTTAACATTACCACCAACCACAGAACAGTAACTGCTAAAGTTAGTCAGGGGTAAGAAACTGGATACTAGGCGTTAGTTGTGAATAAGTTATAATGTTTCTGGAATAAGAGAATATGAAATAGTAATATAATAAAATTAAAATGTAAATTCTTTCATAATGGTTGCTTGGATACATCCTAATAGTCACTTTTAGGCTTTCAAATTTAAACAGTAAAAATAAATAAGGGAAAAAAGTAGAAGCAATATCCCCATTAAAACCATGCACATTGCATGTTTGGAAACCAAAAACACCACAACTTTTGGTACAATTACAAATAATATATTTTTTCTTTAAATGTAGATATATTAACTATGTAATAAATAATTATGAATTCACATTAATGTATTATAAAAAAACAATTATATATCCTTTAGAAAGGGTTACACATATTCCTAATGGCTAAAAATGAAAGTAAACATCCATGCTACTAGGTTTTTATACATTTAAACATTGTTAATTTATCTAACAGCATCAACAAATATTACTAGCACATATTTACTCAACAAATATTTATTAAAGCATGGACTGTGTGCCTTGTCTTGTTCGTACTGTTTGGGGTCATAAAATTATAAAAGAACCTGTATTATTAACAGGGCCATTGCTACAGTGGAAAATTAAATGAACAAATAAGAAAAATATTGGAAAGTTGATTTAAATACTCTGGGTGATGTAACAGAGAATGACTGAGTAACTACTTTAGACTGGGTGCTCAGAAATTGCCTCTGAGGAGGCATGAAAAGGTAATGTTTAATTGTAATCCAAGTGACAAGAAAGAACCATCCACACTAAGATCAGGAAAAGACTATTGCAGATGGAGGAACAGGAAAGTGCCTCAGGGGAAGAATGAGCTTGGTGTGAAGGAGGCACAGGAAGAAGGCCAGTGAACCTGCAGCCCAGTAGGTGAGGGAGAGCAGTGAGAAATTTGCAGGTCAGGGTAAAAGGTTTGGATTTTATTTTCAGTGGAAGTTAGTTAACCAATGAATATCATGATTTGATTTATGTTTAATAAAGATCATTCTGGGTCCTCTGCAGGGGGAGGGAGACCAGTCAGGAGGCTACTGGAATAATAGTTTGGGTAAGAGATAAAAAATGCTTCACCCTCAATTCACCAGGAAAAGTAGTCATTACCACTTACCATCTGGGTCCATGGACTTTTAATTCTTTTGCATTATTTACTTATTTTTATTTGTTTATATTTTTAATATAGAATAACTTAGAGAAGAATAAGTGATGGTGAAAAACAATTATATGACAACAATTATATTTTTTAAATATAATAAAACCAAGGTTATTATCCAAAATAAGCAACATCCTTTGAATGCAACTAACTGCTTGCTTATCAACTGTCATGCATGAGCCTGGACATATTCATCTTATAAATACTAAGTCCAGATTTTAAATACATATCTAATAAGTTCTAGCTTATCATTACTTCTGGTTCTTCTCGTACTCACATGTCAAAATGCAGCATTTTTTTAAAACCTTGATGCCTCATAATTTTGTTAGAGAGAATGGCCATCTTCTTTGCTTCATATTTGTAAAACATTTCTATTTTTACACTTACAGATACCAATCAGAATAATGGATCCAAGGAATTATTAAATTTCTACATCACCTTTTTCTTTCCAGTTACAGGTATAACTAATTGGATAAGGATATGGACATGTCATGAGAATGCTTATCAGTATTTCAACCCTAACTTAAAATTTAAGGAATTCCTCCTCATTTATAATAGAACTAGAGGCCCGATGCAGGAATTTGTGCACAGATGGGGTCTGGCCCACCCGCCCCAATCGGGGCGATCATTAGATAAGTTATTTAGACTCCTTATGCCTGTTTCTTTACTGGTGATATAAGGGTTATTATAGTACCTACTTCACAGAGATTGCTTTTAAGATGAAATGAGATAATATGTGAAAAGTGATTGGTATGGCATTGGGTACACAGTAAGCACTCGATAAATATTAACAATGATCATCAAGGAATTCTTTTTCTAATTTATTGATTTAATGAGAGGAAGGAAGAGAGGAAGACAGATGGGGTGGGAGGGGGGTGAGAGAGAGCAAGAGAAAGAAAGAAACAGCGATTTGTTGTTCCACTTATTTAAGCATTCATTGGTTGCTTCCTGCAGGTGCCCTGACTGGGAATCGAATCTGCAAATTTGGCTTGTCAGGACGATGCTTTAACTAACTGAGCTACCTGGTCAGGGCAGTTATCATAAAGGAATTAAACTTATAGAATAGTGGCTACATATTTCAAGAAAGAGAATCTCTTTTTAATGTCAAAAAAGTTAATTTTAATTGTACTTTTAGTATCTGACAAAATTCAGTAATGATTTTAAATTTATTTGTACTTAAAATAGCCTTTCTATGTCTTCGAAAGTGCATAGGCAGGAAGGGTAAAGGTTATTCTTCTTCTTCTTCAGTTTACAAAAGGGATTGGTAAACTCCCTATTGGAAGTTCCTAAATGTGGGATTGCTGGCTGCCCTGGGTGCTGCTGTTATTGCACCAGGAATATGTAAAATATGATAGGCATATTTCAGGACCTCTTGGTCCATTCGATTGGTTGGTCTATCTATGACCTATAACTAGGTCAAAACAAAAGTGATAAATTTGAAAATTAGAAAAAAACGTTAACAAAGAACAAAAACATCTTCTCTTAGCACTGACACCTTTGTCTTTGAGAAATAAGGAAGAGTTAGAGTTAATGGTTCCTACACCATTATTTTGTAGTTCCAAATTTATGGCCAAGATCAGACAACTAGATCAATATTTAAATCCTATTTTATATATATGTTTTTCTAGGGGATTGAGCTATGGTGGTGAAGCAATGTCCTCTGCTTCCATGCTCACCTAACAATATATTTATACTTTGGCTCAACTTCAAGGTTACTATTTAAAAAAGTCTTCTCTGAACCCAATATTAGCCTTTGTCTCCCATCCCTCTGTTAGTCATTCTTGGCACACTATTGCTTTTTCCTTCTTGGCACTTACCATAATCTATAATCTTATATTTTTGCTTTTACCTGCTTAATATCTATTTGCACCATTAGACTACATACTCAGTGGAGGTCTCTTTAGGTTACAATGTTATTGCCTGGTACATGTCATACATTAATGGCATTCAATAAGTATTTGTTAAATGAAGGCAGGCTAGAGCTCTGAAAAGTAAGGAGAGGTAGGGCTGCAGTAAAAATATTAGCATATAGAGAATTTTATTATATTGCAATACTGTCCAAGCACCTATAGTAGCTATGCCAGTGTAACTAAAACATATGAAACCCCTTCTGTATAAAGAGTATGTACCCAAATCCACTGATTATGGCTGATACTTAAGAAAACTTAGTGATTTGTCTTACCGGTCCTGCATGGGAATAACTAAATCCTGCTTCTCGGGACACAGACCAGTTGGCATGCTCTTCAATCACTGACATATCTGGAAACTTTACCACACTACTGCTGAACCAGTCAAACTCCATCTCTAAGCATGGGGTTTCCTAAGAAATAGAATAAAAGTTATTACATGTATATTGTGTTTGTCATAAAAAAAGAAAAAAAATTCTAATTTATAATAAGAAAAAGCTTACTTTATTTGGATTTGACCCAGTAACACCAATAGGATTCAGCAAATCTTCTAATCCATGAGGTACTGGCCAAAGATTCAAAGCCATTTTTCCAGATACTAGAGTATCTGTGTAATCAAACAAGTTTATATTTCCCCACGCCAATGGACAGTGTTCCTTAAAACACACAAACAAACAAACCGAAAAATATTCACTACTCTTTGGGTTAAATTATTAAACCTGTTTCAAAACACTTTTCTTCCCCAGAAAGGAGAATTCAACAACTATCTCCATAACAATGTCTACAACAAACTATATTAATTTTTACAAAGTATAAATATCTCGCTTTCCTTTTTCCCATTTGAAATAACATGTATTTTCTCTAATTATTATTCTTATTCTTAGGAAATATAAACCAAAGCAAGCAAGACAGATATTTGCATGTAGTCACTTAACAGATATTTGTGTGTAGTCACTTGGCATATTCGAAAATTGTATCGGTATGACCAGGACAAACTCACTATTTATAAATAAATTCTAAAAACTTTCACAAGATATTTTTCTATGATACATTTATTAATTTAAAATTTTTAAATTATTTATTTTAGATAAAGAAAAATAATATCCATTTCTTGATAAAAATTCAATATGCAGTATAATTTGGAGTTTCTAAAGGTGAATATAATTTACCTCTTTAGCACCTTTTCGACCTTTAACAGAACAAATGGAAAGGCAAAGCCGAGCAGCACGAGGAAGATCAGGAATGTATATGTCATAATTCAGCCATTCATTCCACCTATGTAAAATTAAAAAAAAACACACAATTTATTCCCCCCAAAAAGCGTTTATCCAGAGCATATGAATGACTCCTACAAATCATAAAGAAAAAAATAAAGTGGAAAACAGGCCAGAGATCAAATGGAACAGACATTTATCCAAATGGCCAATAAACATGAAAAAGTAGTCCATATCATTTGTCATCCAAAAAATGCAAAATAAAATGTCATGGAACTATCACTATACAAGAGATTAGCTAAAACTATAAGGATTAATGATACCAAGGAGTGGTTACAAAATGTGTAGTTTCAGGAAATCTCATATTCTGCTAGTGGAGGTGTAATTTATACAACCAATTTGGAAAGCATAATGTACTAAAACTGACCTGTGACATCTCCACCTCAAGGTATAAAATCAAAGAAATGCGTGCATTTGTGCCTAGAATGTTAACAGAATTATTTACAATATTCCCAAACTGCAAACAATCTTAATGTCTAATAGACTAGATAAACTGCAGTATATTCATATAATGGAGTACACAGTAATGGAAATGAACACCAGCTATTTACATCATGGATGAAATCTTAAAAACATAATATTAAGTGAAAAAAGACACAAAAGAATATCTACTCCTTGAGTCCATTTACATAAAATTCAAAAAGCCCAAACTAAACAAAAATTTTAGAAGGATAGTAGCTACCTTTAGAGAGGAGAGAAGACTAATGGTCTGGGAGAGGAGATGAGGAGGGAGGGACTTTTAGAATACTGTTAAATGTTTTATTTCTTGACCAGTGTAGTGCTTATATAAACATTCATTTTGTGATAACTCACTAAACTCTGCAATGTATACTTTTGTCCATTTATGCAATATACTTTCACACACACCCCCAAATTAGCTTATAAAGAGGCAAATAGAAAAGGGAAACTAAGTAAAATGAAATTTCCTATTATGATTACAATGATATTTAATTACTTTTATAGATGATGCAGTTTTATTCATTTAAATAAGTCAGTATTAATAAAATGAAGGATATGTTAACAGAAAGTATTTGAATTTTAGAACTATTTCGCAAATAAAACTTGACATTCATAATAAGAATAAAAAGTTACTATAAAAAGTGATAATTTTTTCTCAAATTTTAATAATAAATTCCCTTCAATTTATTGGATGTTACATGTGAAATAATGTCTATATTTTATTTGGTAGACATATCTGTAAAGAGCCAAGCAAAATACATAGTTGTTATTTCTTTAAAAAAGATTATAGTAATGGTTAAGAGTATGAACTCAGAAGTCACACTACCTAGAGTAGAATCTTGTTTTTACTATTTTATTACATGTGCAACCCTCACTTTGTCTGTTTTCTTGTCATGGAAATGTGACTAATAATAGTGTCTACTCTCATAAAGTTGTTGTGAAGATTAAATGAGATAACAAAAGTAAATAAATTAGAAGAGTAATTGGTCCAAGGTAAAAGCTCAAGTGCTAGATAATGATTTTGAAAACTTTTTAAATGGCTTCTTCAAAATTCTATTCTGTTTTTGGTCACAAATAAAACAAGACTTAATTAACAACAAAATGGTATAAAATTTTTAATTAGCCAAACTAAGATATAAAACTTTATTAGTGAAATAAGTTCTGTGTATTCTTTGCTTGACTATGGATGAAGATTAAAAAAATATGATCCACTTATATAGAGTAGGTATGTTTAAAATGGGGAAACTTAACAAGAAGGAATTCTAAAGGACAAAGAAACAATGTTTATGGAGAGAAGAAATATTGTGGAATTTGATAAGTTCACAGTAAATGTACCCGGGGTTTTTTATTTATTACTTCTCAATCTCTAGACTTGCTCAGATTTAATGGGAAATAGTCTATATACTTTCTAAGAAAGCTATATCCTATGAATGTTGTTGTTTATAATACTATGCAAATAAAGCATGTTTCTTCTCAAGTCCACACACAGAGAACAATTAAGTTCTTTATTATTAGGCAATAGTTTTATATATATATAGTCCAAATTGATTCTGATTTTGGGAGAGAACGTAACATTTATGAAGAAATCATATGGTAATTTATCTAGTATATGGGAAGTACAGTATTTGGAACAATCAATCTCAGAAGAAATTTTTAATATCTACTTTTCATTCTAGTAACTTCATTTTTTTTATCTCTAATTTTTTTTGTAAATACAAAAAAGTTTACAAATTTACTAAAATATTCATACTACTACCATAGGGATTTTATCTTTTAGACTAGAGAATTCTTAAAGAAAAGATAACCAAATATAAGTATTTTCCAAATAACTTCTTTAGTTCACTAAAATTTTGACATTATAATCTTAGATTGTTAAATACATTTACCTTTTACTTTTATAAAGCTAGTTTATTTTTTGGTTTTGAAACAACTAGAATAAATGTACCCAATATTATTTTGGGGTTTTTGCTTGTGGCTTGTGGAACTCCTCAGATTGTTGGTTTTACAGTTTTTATCAAATTTGGAAAATTCTTGGCCATTCTTTACTCAAATATTGTTTTGCTGTTCCTTTCACAACCAAATCACTCAACCTCTGACAGTTATGCAGTATGACTGGGAAATAAATTTTGTTGTTCTAATAAAAATTGTAAAAGATCTTGGGGTTGTTTGTTGTCACAGCATAAGTTCTAACGTGAATGACGTACTTTCTGACCTAATGGTTCCGGTAGGGTGAGGAACTATTTCCCTTTCTCCAGGCAGAAAAAATTACCATCTCTTTGAACTTGATCCAAACTCTAGAATGGTGGTCACCTCTAGCAACTTAATTACAAGATCAAAATTTTTTCTTGATTCTCCTAGAATCAAGTGTAAATGATAATGGAGATAAGAAAAGAATAAAATGCTAGGTTTATGAATCATCAGTACCAAACTGTAACCATATTTTGTTCTCTCCTTGATACAATGCAAAGAGAGAATCAGAAAAACCCTACAGATAAAATTTTACAGAAAATCAATAAAGTGATCCTGTGATTTGAAAGTCCTTATGTTCTATATGTAAATGTGTGGCAATTTCCTTGACTTGTATAAAGCCAATGATGGAAATTGTATTACTTTTATTTATTACATTGCTAAACACTAATATGACTTATGAAGATAGAAATCCATATACTTCCTTACCTAGGATTGGAACAAGGTACTCTTTGAGTGTTCACATTATCACATAAGGGTTCTCCTCCATGGTAGATACCTGTTCGAACATAGATCTAAAATAAAAATAAAAATGTATGTGTATACAAATATATACAAACATACATATATAATACAAACACACATGTACACATAAGGGGACAAAAGTAGGTTTACATTTGTTTTTATGGAAAATACTACAATAATTAGTAAATAATAACACAAGAATAACTGTTTCCCCCTGGCCAGGTAGCTCAGTTAGCAGAGTGTTGCCCCGATATGCCAAGGTTATGGGTTCCTTTAGAAGTTTCTGTTCAGATGTAGCTTTTCAGTTCTCCTTTTCTCACATATATAAGAAATTAATATTAATGCAGGCTCTTCACTAAAATTTGTTGCTGTTTCAGGGGAACATCAGACTAATAAAAATCAATATAGGCCCACCTTTAGGACAGGTATGGAATTCAGAGTTCTTCATATTTTAGAAAGATAAATTGGTACATATACTAAACATTATTCAATACTATTTGAAGTTAGAACACCCATAAATATATTAATATTTCTGCAACAAAACACATGAATATTTATAGTAGTGGGATAAATAAAGATACAAAAAAAACCTTGCTTCAAGTTGGACCAGGTTTTGATGCCAAATATATTCTGTAAAACTTTTGGTTTTAAGAGCTTAGAATTGTGAACATTAGAACCATTAGGATATTAGAATTAGGGATATTAGAATGACAAAGGACCATAAGCTGTGTAATAGCAGAGGTAGATGGGTGGTTTGCTAGCCACCTGAAAACATATTGCAGCTCAATAGATCATTAGTTCAATAAAAAAGTTTATATAAAGTCCTATATAATAAAGAGGTAAAATGCAAATTGTCCATCACTCCAATACACAAGATGGCCACCCCCATGTGGTCAAAGATGGCTACCACAAGATGGCCAGCAGGGGAGGGCAGTTGGGAGGGACCAGGCCTGCAAGGCAAGGCAGTTGGGGGCGATCAGGCTGGCAGGGGAGGGCAGTTGGGGGGAACCAGGCCTATAGGAGAGGGCAGTTGGGGCTATCAGGGAAGCAGGGGAGAGCAGTTGGGAGGGACAAGGCCTGCAGGGGAGGGCAGTTGGGAGGGACCAGGCCTGCAGGGGAGGGCAGTTAGGGGCAACCAGGCCGGCAGAGGAGGGCAGTTAGGGGCAATCGGGCCTGCAGGGGAGCAGTTAGGTGTTGATCAGGCTGGCAGGGGAATGGTTAGGGGGTGATCAGGCTGGCAGACAGAAGCGGTTAGGGGCAATCAGGCAGGCAGGCAGGCAGACAATCAGTTGGGAGCCAGCAGTCCCGGATTGTGAGAGGGATGTCCCAGATTGGAGAGGGTGAAGGCTAGCTGAGGGACACACACACACACACACACACACACACACACACACACCATGTGCAAATTTCGTGCACTGGGTCTCTAGTAATTTATATAAAATAATAAGCAACAACACGACTTTACCTTGTCAATGTCTCGAATATTTACATTTACATAGGTTGCACAAAGAATTTTTATTCTGAGTGCACTATTTATACCCCAAAGGGATTTTGTAGAGGTTTCTCCATTCATATATGGTGTAGCTGTGGAGATGCGTCTGGAATAAGATGGCATTGTAAAACAGTCCATTGGCAGCTGCGAGTAAAGGCTTTCCTTAGCCATCAGCATCAAATTGGGCATCCTCCCAAGCATTATACAGCTTCTTATATACTGTAAAAGATTAAGGGAGATGGGGAGAAGCCATTTTTAAAAAAGGTTTTTCATTTTAAAAGCACCATGTAAGAGTATTATGAGAGAATTTACATACTAATCTGCAAAGGTGATAATGAAATCAAACATTATAGACCACATTTCTTAGCAGTTGCTACACTTAACATTTAAAATACATATCTGGGAGTTAGGTTATAGCACAAGATCAACCAAGCACCTATTGGAATATAAACTGTATAAAAGAAAAAAAAGAGGTCAGTTTTTGACACTTTAGTTCTACCCTTAACTGTAAGAAAAAAAAATTACAAACAAGAATCAGAGGATACTCATTATGAAAACACTGCACTTGTTAAAGGAAAAGCAACATCGTTTAGTAAATTTCTATCATTCTATATATTGTCATATTGATGCCCAATCCAAGGGTTATTGCCCCCTTGCTCTTTTGTTGCAATATTTCCTGAGAAACATTTGTTTTGCCTAAAAGTAAAACAAAACAAAAATAAGAGGAGACTGATAAAAATATAGGATGTATTTAAAAATATATTAAAATACATTGTTTGATCTATGAAGTGGTAGTTAGGATAGAAATTTCAAATAGAAATGCTACTGCCCTAGCTGGTTTGGCTCAGTGGATACAGCGTCAGCCTGCGGACCAAAGGGTCCTAGGTTCGATTCCAGTCAAGGGCACATGCCTGGGTTGCGGACTCGATCCCCAGTAGGGGGCGTGCAGGAGGCAGCCAATCAGTGATTCTCTCTCATCATTGATGTTTCTATCTCTCTCTCCCTTCCTCTTTGAAATCAATAAAAAATATATTTTAAAAAAAGACATGATACTTCCAATTTGCTAAAAAAAAAAAAAAAGTGCTACTATGTACATATTACAATAGCCTATTTTCATACCCATAAATCCACTAGACTGTAAGCAACCTGAAGGCCAGAACCATGTCTTGCTTGGTATTGTAAATCAGTACTTAGCATACACTTGGTACAAGTATAGTTGCTTCTTATATGTATTTATTAAATGAACAGAATAGAGAGTACGGTAATATTAATAGTATATCTTAACAGTAAGTCATAGATTTTTTTGAAATGTTTAATTACTGCTAGTGCCATTGCTTGGAAGGAGATAAAATACGCCATATTTTGGGGTTAGTATAACTGAAAATGTTTTTATGATTGTCTTTTTTTGACAAGGGGACATTTATGTAATTGCTTTCTTGCATATTCAAATGAATACAATAAACCCCTTAAAAAAAAAAAAAAGGCAGCCCTAACCGGTTTGGCTCAGTGGATAGAGCGTTGGCCTGCGGACTCAAGGGTCCCAGGTTCGATTCCGGTCAAGGGCATGTACCTTGGTTGAAGGCACATCCCCAGTAGGGGGTGTGCAGGAGGCAGCTGATCGATGTTTCTCTCTCATTGATGTTTCTAACTCTCTATCCCTCTCTGTAAAAAATCAATAAAATATGTATTTTTAAAAAAGGCACATGAAAAGCCTTCTGTGCAAGTTTCGTGGTATTTAAAATTCTTATTGGCTAATAAAAGTATTTCCACTATAGAACTGGAGCTGTCTAGAAAAGCATATGACGCATTTTTTTGTATGCAGAATACCTGAAACATTGTACTTACCTTATAGCACATTTAACAGTCACCAAATCAAATGTTTGTATCTGAATAATGATATAACTATTGTTACAATTGCAAAACCATTAATCAGCTTACCCACATATATAGTCAGATCCCCAAATATTATTACATAAAATATAAAGAAATAGCATGTTTTTTCAAATTAAATTCATCATCAATCTAATTAAATAATTATTGCATAAAAATAAACTTGTGAATATTACTTAATAATATTAATTTCTCAAAATGTATGTTCTAAAAATGCAGACAATAGTCCCCAATGTGATTACTTTTTAAATTTAAAATTAATATTTTTGAAACTTGTTACTCACCTTATATTGACTCAGAGGATATTTTTCTAGGAAGTATTCATCACATCCACACACTTTTAAAATATATTTGCCCTGATACTCTAGAACACAAAGTTTTAGTTGTTCAGATGATAGCAACATACTTCGAGTTTTTTTCCTGATTGCTTCAGCAATTACTTGTTCTGGCACATAATCATGGTTGATTTTCAGAGTATACTTCTGCTTGTCATTATTTGGAGAAACTATTACCCAAATCACCACTATTATTTGCCCTATAAGAGGAAGACATTATTAGATGTAATCACCATATATACTTCATTTTTCAAGAGACAAATTTCAAAAAGCATGCACTACCATTCTTTTAACCATAATCATTAATGACTTATAATCTAACTAATTAAATGCAGGTAAATCTTCAGATCTAATAGAGCTGCCAGGCTATGTCCAAATCTCATGTTTTATGGCAAGCATGCAAAACTGACTGGTGGGTCACAAGTACCTGAGACCAATATAATTCCATTTTAAACTGCATGGCATACTTCATGGATACAAGCTCTGTGAAGAGTGACTCATGATGGTATACAAAAGGTTCAGAAGTGGAAGAGTTTTTGGTAACTATGGGAAAGAATCATGGAGACTTAAAGATGATAAATCGGAATAAGAGAAAAGATGGGGGAGGAGGGAAAATAAGATGCATTTTCTTAATTTGTTTTCTTTTAAGATCAATTAAGCCAGGGGATTAAAAAAAATGATAAACTAGAAAGATTAAAACTATCAGAGGCCGCCCGACGCCCGCTCGGCAGGGTGAGTCCCGCGCCCGGCGCCTTGCAGGGCAGGACCCCGGGCCGGAGTGCGCGCCGGGACCGCCCGCGTGTCCGTGTCCGCGTGTCCGCGCCCGCGTGTCCGTTTCCGCACCCTCGTGTCTGACCCCGCGTGTCCGCGCGCCGACCGTCAGCCAGAAAAATCATTTTTCTTCTCTGGAGGGTGAACATTTATAGCATTGATTTCACGGATCTGATAACATGGCAAAAGATGCCGGTCTAATTGAAGCCAACGGGGAACTAAAGGTCTTCATAGACCAGAACCTTAGTCCTGGAAAAGGTGTTGTGCCCTTAGTAGCTGTTCACCCCTCCACAATAAACACGCTTGGGAAGCAGCTCTTGCCAAAAACGTTCGGACAGTCATCCAATGTCAACATTACACAGCAAGTGGAAACGCAACAGGAAGGGCGAGAAGAACGGTAAGGGCCTGAGGCACTTCTCCATGAAGGTCTGTGAGAAGGTGCAGAGGAAGGGAACCACGTCCTATAATGAGGTGGCCGACCAGCTGGTCGCAGAGTTCAGTGCCGCCGATAACCACATCTTACCAAACGAATCCGCTTATGATCAGAAGAACATAAGACGGCGAGTCTATGATGCCTTAAATGTGCTGATGGCCATGAACATCATCTCCAAGGAGAAGAAGGAAATCAAATGGATTGGTCTGCCCACCAACTCAGCTCAGGAATGTCAGAATTTAGAGGTAGAGAGACAAAGACGACTTGAAAGAATAAAACAAACAGTCTCAACTTCAAGAACTTATTCTACAGCAAATTGCCTTCAAGAATCTGGTGCAGAGAAACCGCCAGGCAGAGCAGCAGGCCAACCGGCCACCTCCGCCCAACTCTGTCATCCACCTGCCTTTCATCATTGTGAACACCAGCAAGAAGACCGTCATCGACTGCAGCATTTCTAATGACAAATTCGAGTATCAATTCAATTCTGACAACACGTTTGAAATCCATGACGACATAGAAGTGCTGAAGCGCATGGGGATGGCCTATGGACTGGAGTCCGGAAGCTGCTCTGCTGAAGACCTGAAAATGGCAAGAAGCTTGGTGCCGAAAGCACTGGAACCCTATGTGACAGAAATGGCTCAGGGATCACTCGGCAGCGTATTCCTCACGTCAGCGGTTTCGACCTCCAACGGCACAAGGCTTTCTGCCAGGGACTTGACCAACGGTGCGGATGGGATGCTGGCCACGAGCTCCAGTGGGTCTCAGTGCATGGGGTCCAGGGTGGAGACTCCCGTGTCCTACGTCGGGGAGGATGACGACGAGGACGAGGAGTACGAAAACGACGAGGAAGATTGAAGTGTTTGCTCACAGGCCCCGCTCCCCTCAAGTTCAGCTTCAGGAAAACATGTTTAGGAAAGAGAAACTTTTCTTAATGTGGGCTTTCCTGTTTCTTTTTGGCTTCCTCCCAAGAAGGTATTGGTAAGCTATTGCATTTGACGTGCACCTCTGATAAGCAAGCGAGGGCTGTTTTCTGCAGGGTCTTAGACGGGCTGCGGTGTGTGGATTCTAGTCGCTGGCACAGGGCTTTTACTTGGTAGGATTTTGTGTTTTCATTTTTCTATTTTTTTAAAATTCAGAGTTCCTTTTTGCCCTTAACAATTCTTGCTGAGTTTGCTGAAGAAGTTGTGCTCCATCTACATCAACGAAAATGCCGTCCTCCTGTCGAGGCCACCCCGAAGGCCACTTATTTGCAGCGCGTTGTGAATGGCGCCACCCCATGGCGGCGTGTGAGGCTCCAGGCCGAGTTCCCATTTGTGAAAGTCTGGGGCGTCCGCAGAACCAAGCCAATGGCAGGGCTGCTTTTCAATATTGAGCACCACAAAGCCTATTATGACGTATTTCCCCTTAAATTATATTGACTGTATGATTCCATATACTTTTCCTTTCTTTCTTTTTCTTTTTTTTGTCTATGGTGCAGCGAACATTCAAAGTTGTTCATTTGTGTTTGTGTGTTTGGTTTGGTAGTTTACTGCCGTGCTGGTGCAGCTGTGAAAACTCTGGAAGGCTTGGGATCGTTTTTTGCTTATGGTAAAATTTGCCTGATTTCTTACAGGCAGCGTTTGGGAACTTTTTATTATATAGCTGTTTACATACTTATAAGTCTATCATTTAAAGACATGTACTGAAACAAATGTATTTGTTTCATGAGCATCTTCCTGTAATCTATTATAAAGTTGAAATTAAATATAGAGAATGTTTTAACAGTTTTTTAACTCAAAATTTGTCAATCATTTTTAATAGTTCTTTTTTTATAAAAAGGAAAAGGAATTTCAGGACAGGCAGTAGCTTCTTTTAAAATTTATCCACGAAGAACCATTAACTGCACAGTTGCTGTTAGCTGCCTGTTCTAAAACAATAGTCTTTTTATTGAAACACAAATAAACTTTTCTGTAATATTTTTAAAAAAACTGTCAGAATGGGCTGGGTATTCACAGTACAATTTTTCCAACTATCTTATATGTTGGAAATTTTTCATAAAGATTGGGTAAAAATAAAAGAGTGTTTGTACCATTTTAAAAAGTATGCTAGAGTAGAAAAGAATTTCAAATAAACAAAATGTTATGTTATATTTCATTAAACTACTTTGAATAATATGGGTAGAATGGTAATAAGATTAACTTATTTACTAACAGAACTTTATATTTATTTGTGTGTGTGAGTTAACCTATTCTATAACTTCAAATTAAAAACTTCACTTTGGCCTGGCCAGTGTGACTCAGTTGGTTGGAACGCTGTCCCATGCACCAAAAGGTTGGGTTTCAATTCCCGGTCAGGGCACATACCGAAATTGCAGGTTCCATCCCAGGTCAGGGCGTGTACCGGAGGCAGCTGTCAGATGTTCCCCCCCCAACTCCCCTCCCCTCTCCAAAATCAATAAGCTTGTTTCACAGGTGAGGATTAAAAACAAAAACAAACAAACAAACTTCACTTTGTTATCTTGAAAAATACAGATATTTATCTGATATATTTTCATTTCAAAAAAATATATAGTTTATATTTTTTCTTGTTTATTTAAATCTAGAAACCAATATATTAAAATGTCAAAAGTCAATCTCATTATGATCAGATTTAGTATATCTAACATTAAGATTAAGAATTTTTTTTGAATATATGATATATATCAAGACGATGTAGTTTTCCTAAAATTTCATAAAATGTGTGTCTATTTATACTTGTTTTTACATGTGAAATGATAATCAGCTGTAAATCTACAGCAAGGAATGTCAAACTCAAAGTTCTTTAGTTTTATTCTGAATAAACAATTCACCAAGGGCTCAGCACCATATGCACACAATTCATTCAATTAATAAGTATTTATTTGTACACAAGTTGTATACTTGGCACTCAACTATATCTTGTCAGTATAAGCAGTATCTGACTTCAAGAAGCTTATCATCTAATTGAGATAAAAAATACTTTTAAAATAGAGACATGATAGAAGTTCTCACTATAGTAACCAATTATGGTAGACTGCAAATTTTCTTACCTTTATCTAATTTATTATATATGTGTTTTGGCAATTCTGGTGAAGATTCTACATTTGGAGGATAAACATACATTGCTCTACTGTGAGGTGAATTAAGATCCCTAAGATCCACAGCTTCTTTACAAACATTCAGAATATTTCTTCGGAAGTCCTGTACTTCTGGATCTTTAACCATGTCAAATTCACACACTGGCATGCCGATAGCAAAGCCTTAAAAAATTATAGAAAGAAGATAATATTCTATTAAATATACAGTATAAACATGTTTCTTATAAATAGAAAACTTGATAGATTTGGAAGATCACAATAGAATAAAGAAGTTTCTCTGGGTTTAAAAAGTTTTTGATGAACACATACAGTAAGAGTTGACAAGGACTCAAATATTTTTAATAAACATTATATTTAGCAACTTGGAGCAAAGGCAGCAAACATTATCCATATCAATTATTTTTTAGAGAATAATAAACAAAACTGGGCTATAACAAATCTAAGTCAACCATACAAATCATACTTCTTAAAGAAAACTTTATAAAAAATACCAAGGTGTTAAAAATAGTTTCTTAATCCAATAGAAAAAAATAGTTTAGATTTGGAATGATTCTTATTTAAAAATGTATTTAAGATTACAAAGGTAATTAACTGGTTCAAACAGAGATATTTCAGTGAGGAGAAAATAAAGTTGCACAGTTATTTGCATTTAGAATAGGATGACAATGACATTTAGTCAAAAATTTTCTCATACCAATTTCTCGATTGAGGATCTTTTCTTCACGGTTGCCTACTGGCTCAATTACTTTTAAAAAGGGTTGAAAGAGCCGAAGATCACAAAGTCGTCTTGTTTCATCAAAAAATTCTTCCCTTTCTGCTTCTTGGGTAACACTTACGAAAATGTAAGAAGATTCATCTTGAAGAAGTTGATGGAGAGGGTACTTTCTTGCTTCTTTAAATAGTTCATGCTTTATAGTTACTAATGTAGCCTCACGGAGGCATTCTAAAGTCACTATCATTCCATTTGGTAGTAAACATTCTACTAGGATTCTTGGGGGCATCAAGTGGATGCCCCACAGTTCACCTGATGATGGTCTTGGAGGCATTGTTCTGATCCTTTATAAGTTTTACATATAAAACTACTTTAAGGAATTAGATGTGTGGCTGTCCCAAAGCAGAAATCTAAACCAAAGAAGGAAAACATATGTTAAAAGAGAAACAACTATGGAAGAATAGATTTATGGCATTATTATGTGTAAAAACTCATTTTCCACAGTTTGAATTAATTAGGATAAGTAATAATAATTCATCTTAAATATTTTGATGGAGACTGTTGCTCCAAATTAGGCTGAATCGACTGCAAAGCAGAAATTAGAAAAAAATCACTTGTATTTCATTTTATTTAGTAAATTCATTTAATAAAAAACATTTTATATGAATGAGTTTTTAACAATCAGGTCTTATCAAGACAGAAATGAGACTATGGGAAGAATGAATTAAGTTGTAATTGAACCCAAAATTTCCATCACCTATCACCGCTACCATTCTCTTCTATTTTATTAAGCAGAATCTGGGCTAAAAAGGATACTTTATCATGGGCCAACTGCTCTCATTCTGAAGATGAGTAAAGCAAAGGCTTAGAGAAGTAAAACCTTTTACTTTTTCTCCCAACCTCCACCCTGTGGTAATGAGAAATTATATAGCTTAATCTTTTCTTCTTTCTTAAGAATCTTTGGCATTTTTAAAAAAAATATATTTTGTTGATTTTTAACAGAGAGGAAGGGAGAGGGATAGAGAGTTAGAAACATCGATGAGCGAGAAACATCGATCAGCTGCCTCCTGCACACCCCCTACTGGGAATGTGCCCGCAGCCAAGGTACATGCCCTTGACTGGAATCGAACCTGGGACCCTTGAGTCCGCAGGCCAACGCTCTATCCATTGAGCCAAACTCGTTAGCGCTTTTCTTCTTTCTTAAATCAATCTTTGTAATTCCCTCTTATGTACTGATTATTTTCTAAGTGATATCTTGGACCATTATGTTTCTAAAGTATGTTAGGTATATACTCACTCTAAGTGCCATCAATGCATTTTCCTTGAGATGTGACCAATTGACAATGATCCATCCACTTTATCAAATAACCTAGTCCTAATACCTCTGATTGAAATGATCTACACATAAAGGAGATCCATTGACTCTCTTTGTCAGTACAATGTTCTAATCTTATTAAGCACTTGTAATATTTATTTATTTATTTATTTATTTATTTATTTATTTTTATTTATTTATTTTTATTGATTTCAGAGAGGAAAGGAGAGGGAAAGAGAGATAGAAACATCAACCATGAGAGAGTCCTCCACACCCCACACTGGGAATCGAGCCTGCAATCCAGGCATGTGCCCTTGACTGGAATCGAACCGCAGGCTGACACTATCCACAGAGCCAAACCAGCTAGGGCAAACACTTGTAATATTTTAAAAAATATTAATTATCATTATGATTTGAAGCCCTAATTTTTTAGATATCAATAATCTTGAGGGGATCTTTTGGAAGATACTGTCAAAACCAGAAAGCACAAGTTTATTTCTTGCTGTTTGTGTTTATTTTTTAATTTTACTCAGTGAGCTAAACTGTGAAGGTATAAAAAAAGGCAAAGTGAGAGACATTAGGAAAATAAAAAAGAAATAAAAGCTGGAGAAATGAATCAAAGGTCCAGATAATGTACTATATTCGATTACTACAGGCACAGGGACAATAGCTATAAATGACCCTTGGTTTATTCACTAAATATGTATTGGTGCTGTCCCCAGAACCATGTTAGGTGCTGGGAATGTGACGATGAGCAAGACACATGACCCTTCCCCTCACAAAGTCAAGAGTGGGAAGATTATGTGTATGTTGGGTGTGGGGTAATTAAATTCACAGATATGAAACAGAAAAACATGCTCTCATGGAGAATGCCAGATGCTATAAAAGCTCACAGTTGTCACTTGACTCAATGGAAATTGGGGTAGGGAGGCTTTCACAGGAGGTAACAGATAAACTGAATTTTTTAAGGATTCGCAGGTATTAAGCAAACACAGTAAGAGGTGAGGAACATGTTGCATCTAATCCAGAAATCTATCTCTGACTCCTCTATGTCATACCTATCAACATCTAAGCCATCAACAAATTCCGTTAATTCTATCTCCTGATCTGTCTACACTCCTTCCCTATCACTTTCAGTACCTTGGGTCAGGCCACTACTATTTCTTGTCTGGACCACTGCAAAGGCCTAAGTGGTCTCCATGCATCTAGGTTTGCTCCCGACAATGCATCTTTCACCTCAGTGTGGCTAGAGAGAGCAACAGGCCTACTTTGGGCAGCCATTTCTACTGTACCAGTTCTCAGTTACAAACAAGTGTTTATGGTATGCGTCCAAGTTTTAACATATGAAAGAGGTGAGGAGTAGAAATAGAAGAAATTTCAAGCCTTACCCTGCCTCTGGAAATATAAAAATTGGAAGACAATCAATAATATACAATTATTTTTTAATATTTAACATATTTTTCTTCAAATTTAAGAGACCCACTAAAGTTATAGGATTTAAAATATAGTTCTCCTGTTTTTTACATTTTTCAAAGAAAATTCATTGACTAGTAAAAAACCAGATGGAGCTGTGTGTATAATTTTAGAAGTGACTTAGGCTAAGATTTTTAAAACATACAAGAAATTTAAAGAATGCAAGGGATAATGCCAAATGACTACTTTTAAATGATGACCTGCCTGCACAAAAAGTTCAAATAAAAACAAAACCAAACCACGAACGACACCAAAACAGCAGCTGTGTTTATAGTTTTCTTTGTTGAATGGCACTAACAGGTCTATGTTATGAAATCCTGGGGGCAATTATTTTATAGAATAAATAACAACCTCCAGAGTTTCATATGTTACTTAAGAATTAGCAAAAGAGAAGTCTAGTATAGTAGACAGATCGTTGGTTCTAATCTTTATTATAATATAGTATATTTATGGGCAATTAACAACTATGAAATACTCAAAATACACTCTTCTCGTAAGAGAATAAATACGATCATAGCCATAAAACACTTGGAGATCCTGGAGGGCAGGCACTGGTTGATATTATGGTTATACTATACAGAAGAGAGAGGATGCTTATCTGTCTTCTCATGCCAAGCCTTATTCTGTACAAACCATTATCTCAGAGCTCACATGAACAGAAGTGTAGAAATATAATGCACTTAGGAAGGCAATAACCCTTTTTAAGATATGTATTGCTATTTTTACATATAGGGAAACCAAAGATCAGAGAAGTGAAGTTATTCACCACCAGATATGGATTTTTGAACTTATGTCTAGGCGATTTCAAAGTACATGCTGTTATTTGGGCTTCAGTTACGGCCAGGTAATACTCATTGGTGGTGAGTAAGAGAATGGGCTCTAAAGTTACACTGGATTCAAATTCTGGCTGCCTTAATTAGTTGTGTGGCCTTGAGAAAGTTTAATTCATCTCGCTGAACTTCATTCTGCCCCGCCCCCCCGATTTGTTAAATTGGGATGATGGTACCATATTTTTCCGTGTACAAGACGCTATTTTTTTCTAAAATTGTTAGACTGAAAATTGAGGAGCGTCTTATACACGGAAGTCAGCAGAGGAGGGAGCCGTGAAGGTGCGTAACTGCCCATACTTTGTCAAACAGGCTTCCTCCAATCGCAAGCCTTATTGTTATTGACGTCAGCTGATGCAGTAATTGGAGGTGGAGAGTGCGCAGATGCAACAGGGACCAGAGCGTTCTGAGCCCACAAAGATGTCAAAAAATAAAAGATAAATACCAGTAAGCGATTGTCTTACTCTACAAAATTCAAACTGAATGTAATTAGCTATTCAAAAGAGCATGGACACAGAGCTGCAGAAAGACAATATGGACCTCCTCCCACTGAGTGTATGATCAGACAGTGGAGAAAACAGGAAGAACAATTCCTTAAGCTGCTAAAAAAGAAGAAGGCCTTGAGGGGAAAACCAGCAAAATGGGCAAACTTGGAGCAGAGGCTTAAGACTTGGGTTATGGAGCAGTGCCAGAGTGGCTTATATGTGTCAACCAAGCTTATTCAATGTCAGGCAAGAATGTTTGCAACGAAATGAACACTGTTGATTTTACAGGAAAGGCAAAATGGTGCTTCACTTTCATGAGAAGAGAAGGGTTTGGCCATGAGAACATGAACAAAGTTAGCTCAGAAAATGCCATCAGTTTATGAGAATGATCTCACATATATAGACAGTGACTCAGAAGACAGCAGTTATACAATAGAAGTTGAAAAACTTGATATGACTGGAACTAATAGTGATGAAGAAGAGAGTAGTGATACAACAGAGGCTGAATAAAGTGATATGCTGCACAATATCACAGCACTGGTATGTAAACATTACATGTGGTAATGACTAAATAAAAGTGTGTTCTGTTTTATGTTTAAAATATTGATTTCTTAATTTTGGGTTGGAAAAGTGGGGGGGCGTCTTATACATGGGGGCATCTTATACATGGGAAAATATGGTATATACTTCAGATTGTTGTATTAGACATGGTGATATATGAAAAACATGTAAGCAAAGATATCTGCCCAGTAAGCACCCCATAAATGTGTTAAATATTACTATTAACAAACCTGTAAAGCATTCCTATATTATCTTTTCAAGCTACTGTGAATTATCCAGGACTGATACCAGGTAGGGATGGGGAAAAGGGGTCTGGGTTCTTTTACTGAGGGAGGCAAATAAATTAGGAGCGTCATAAAGCTGTGCCAACTTCAAAAGCTGAAACTTGAAGAGCACTGGCAATGCAAGGCTCACAGACAAGTTTGGAATAGTAGTGAGTGGCTCAGATGCTGGTACTGTGCAGCTGCTTCTAGTTCCCCGGACTCCTAATATTCCTATTTAAATGGTACAGCTATCTACAGCTTAGGTGTGAAGAATCCCTTGCTTTCCATCCCTGCCCACCCCATGTTTTTGGAGAAATATCTGCTTGTGCTAGGCTCCTGGCTAAATATGCTATGAAAACAAAGGTAGATAAGATGCTTTCCCTTCGGTTGTTGAAGGACTCACAGTTTATTGGGGAAGACAAAACACAGAACAACTTTAACAACGGGAAATTGTTATAAGACAGAACATGAACTTGGAAAAAGTCA